ACACTTTAAGTACTTGCCATTCAAATATGAATTTCATTATGTACTACAGGCAGTTGATGTCAGCCTCAGTGCGTTTTGCCAGGACCATATCTAGGGGGAACATTAAAGTCATATAAGCCTAAACTCCCCAGTTTTCAAAGTGCTGTGGGCCTGACATATAGGTGCTGTAAACTGCCCTGAATCTTTTGAAGACAAGAGTCCTGCATCACCACGAGTTACACATGAAAAAGAGAGCAAAGACAGCCTTTGCTCCCAAGAGGGTGGAAAAGACAAATCTGAGACACCCATGAACCAAAGGGACCAGACCAATGCATGCTGGAGCACAGAAACAAGCAGCCCTTGTTTGCTGCCCTGCTTGCTGCCCTGCTTGAGTCCCAGTCTGACAGCAAGAGGAATAGCCCAGATGCACACACAGGCTGCAGAACCGGGCTGCACTTCCCCACCCATTTGTTCACACCTTTTTTCATGGCAGGATATTTTGGTCTGATTTTGGACCCCAAGAATTTGTCTCATTATTCATCCATTCCATATTATACCAAGGATTTTGTTTTGTCATCAGCCCTGCTGACTTTATTTGTCAGTCTTCCCATCAGGTGGGACGGGTGGCTCACAGCTCCTACTGCAAGGCTGCCCATGCAATGCTGAGGGTGGACGTGCTGCTCACCTGCTCTTTTGCTGCCTGGTTTTCTGAGATTGAAGACACTACACTGTTTTTATCTGCTTCGCTCTTAGAGGGTTTGATGTGTTTTTAAACAGCTTTGCCAAGGTACTTTTTTTAATGGGAGGCTAAATTTAGGATCATAAATGCCTATTTGAACTCTGAAATTAGCATACACTCTATCTTATGTTTGGCTATTGGCTGTATATTAATAATTCAGTTTTTGTCTTCAGTAAAATGCACTTCTTGACTAGATACAAAAAATGAGATTCTTATCTATTTTGACTGAAGATTTTGATGATTTTTTTAAAAATTATTTTTTCAGCCTTCTTGTTCTTTGAGGATTTATGAATTTATTTATTCAGAAGGTCCCCTACCCACTAAAATCCCTATGTGACTTTGCATATCTGAGTAGTTCTACTAATATCAGCAAGATTACTCGCCATCTGAGAAGCTATATGTGTACTTTTCTGAAGGAGAGCTCAGGGGTCTGATCTGTGACAATCAAGCAGTCTCTGGGCTACTGACTAAACATCACCTGCAAGGATTTCGTCCTTTTCAGAGTCATGACCTGTCTCCAGCTAATGTGAAAGGGGGAAGGCTCAAGGCTGAGGTTTGAATCTACTAACTGTAAACCTAAAATGTAATCTCTGAGCTCCTAAATGCCTATAGATATTGAATTTATTTCATCAGTTCTGGAAAAACATTACCACCTCTGCTACACAGAAACAGGCAGACATAACTTTGCTTTTTTTATCTGATTATGAACCTTGAAGCCAGAAAACAGGCAGAACCTTGTTGGGGATTTTGAAATTAAGACTGGGGGAAAAAAAATCCTTTTTCTGAATTGTTGTACGCATAAAAAACCCAACAGCATGATATTTTGTGGTCCCTATCTACCCTGAGATTTGGAGATTTTTAAGCTGCTTCCCCTAGAGCTCTAGGATTTATGCCACTATTTCTGAATGCTCTCAACAGTGATACTAAGTTTTTTTGATGAAGGAAATTGGTGGCAGTTCTAAAGCTCCCCCTTACTCCTTTAATTTTAAAAAAATGTTGAGGGCAATTCTCATTGCATTTTAAGGATTTAAAATGGGTCAGCTTTTGGCCTACATGGATTGATGGAGTCTTTTAAATAAGCCCTAGCTATAGAACGTTATTAATCACTATAGCAGACAAAAAATACATTGTTTCCTTGCTGAGAATAGCATGTTTTCCTTTGCTTATGAATTGATCCCTGAAAGGTTCCTCTCGGGAATATGTTCGTTCTTTCTTTCTTTGCTTCTTTCTTTCCTTCTAAGGCAAAATGGCTTTAAACTACAGATGTGCTAATCTGTAGGTAACTCCAGAACTCATTGATCCATGGGCAGCATAGGTATTAATCTGCCTGGGCTGGGAGACTAGAAGAATGAACAATTAATTAAATAGCCTTGAGGTTATTTTTCAAAACAGCATTGTAAGAAGTGATGGGCAAACCTCAAAAGGTTTTTATACTGGATTCAGTTCAGATCAACTTCCTAAATTTCATAGACTGATCTGCTCTTTGGAAGCATACATGGGAGGGAAAAATACCTACAGGCAATATTTTAAGTTAGATAAATCAACTCAGCAATAAAAAGGAGAAAATATTTAGAAAATTAATTTTAGTCTTGTCCCTGAGACCCAATACACATTCCAAACACATTTAGATATATCCATAAGAGAAAGGATGCGTGTTTGGACAGTTTTCCCAATATTCTTTAACAAAAAATGCAAAATTTCTTATTAAATCTTGTTGTTTCCAAAATTACTACTTGCTGTTTTGCAAAATTGGCAGCAATGTCAATACAATACTTTTTTTTATCCTCCTCACAGCTTTTACTTCTTGTTGCTTCCAGTAAATGAAAAGGCCTTTGTAAACTGACACGCATGATGATACTGGCAAATCCCTCAGGATCATTTCTTTTGTGACACCAACAAAATAGAAGTGTGGAGAGATGTCTGAGTATAGATTTTGTACACCAGCTTCCATGATGCATAAATCGACCCATAAACTGTATATATTCATGTATCTCCCCGCCCTGCTCCCTGCCCTTTGTTCTTTGCTTATTGTATATTTTGCCAATGCAGTAAAACTGGTGGATGACACAAACTTATTCTACCAGCCTTTAAGCTGAGCAAGGGCACAGTAAAACCACCCTACAATGCAGAGCTCCATTTAATTTATGTTGCCTCTACCTGAGGCTTGTCACTATATTAACAGCACCTATGTCTGTCTATTCCATTGCTTTTGATCATCTCAAAGGGCAGGAAGGAGCGAGAGAATGCACAAAAATTTGTCTTTTCCAGTATATCATGAAGACATAAACCCAGATTTAAAGCTGTTAGAGGCTGCCTATTATTGTACTATCAAATAATGGAGCTCCTTTCTGTGAAGTGCTTCTGGATGCGACGGCACGAGCACTAATGTGACATTACTTGAGCAAATGGGTGGATAAAACAATTACAATGATTTCTGTCAGGGTTTTAAGGGGACCTGCATGCACTTTGGTCACGCACTTTCTGCTGCAGCTTGGCACTGTTCTAGCTCTAACATTAACAGATCCCTCTTAGATCTAACAGCCAGATGGTCAGCAGTTGTGAACTACTTACTGAACCGCTCTTGAAGTTACGCCAGGATATTTGTATACACATATTCTTTCTGCAAGCCAGTGCCATAAGGTCATAGGAAGAACAAGGTCAGAAGTGATGTGTCTCATGTTTTTGGGGTCATGTGTTGGCCTAACTGGCCACACATGGAGTACTCTGCTTGCTGAGCAGCAAACAGGAGGTGGAGATAATTGTACATAACAAGTCAGCTACTAATTGAATTTTTGAGTCTTATGTTTGCAAATTGTCCATGAACAGACCCTGATTTTCTGGAATGTGTTTGTTGCTCAGAGTTATTTGCTGACACAGGAAACAGAAACCACAGAAATGCTGGCTGGGGCTTACCCTTATTTCTTAAAGGCTAAGCAGAATAGCCATCAACTAGGCACTTACCATGAGGCCTGGGGAAAGAAAAATGGAGTATAAAGTCAAAATATAGGAAGCTGAAAGATAGAGATAACCATCATAAAAGAGTTTGCAGTCTCTTGACCTCAGCAATATTACCAGCTACATGCCATAACTTGATCTTTGGCATTAAACACTCTGCTGAGTAGGTGTTTGCTGTGTAACCATCTTCCTGGATGGTTTTTTGCAGCTGTCTTAACCCTTGGGCTGCTGCCATGCTCTTCCTTTTGACACATTATTCCCAGCTCTCAAGGTAAATTTTGGCTGCAAAACCTCCTGAAAGGAACTTGAAGCTCCTTGCCAGACATTTTATGAATAATTTGAAGATAAAAATATGCTTGTAAGTGTATTTGTTCAAATATTTTGATCAACTTTTTTCATCCACACTATAATTTTTTCCTGCCTCTGCTGCTTTTATCTTATGAGAACATGCAAATGTACAGTTATGTCCTGAAGCACTTACAGTCTGAAGGCAGAAGAGGATGGAAGACAATAGGGAACATAACTTCTGTACTTCCTTTTTGGCATGCCTGTGGTACATCTTAGAACTTCAAGCCATTGCCTTGAACCTGTAACACCCTGGATGACCTCAGACACCTTTTGGGGCCAGTTGGTTAAATACCTGCAATGATGCCCCTACTTCAATGGAGCACAAAGGACAGTGCTACCTGCTCACAGTCTCTGCCATTTAGAAACTTGCCATTGCCATAGTTACAAATTTCAAAATCACTTTAAATTTTTATTTCTTACTCCTTTTCATGTCTGAGAACACAGACTAAATTTCCACCCACCCTTTCCCTTTTTTTGTTTTCAATGTTGAACTGGAAATTGTTTCGAGTAGCTCCACTTTCAGTGCATATTCCTGGCCCAGCATAAAACTAATGAATAGCTCATTTGTGAGAAGTGTAGGCAGAAGGAATGTGATTGCAGGAAAATTTCACTAGGAACTGAAACAAATGTTCATAGAGAGCATTTTCCGGTGTTCAGTCACACTGGCTAACCATTAATTGATGGGAATAAGTGTCTCTAGTCAAATGCAGTATCTAAGTAACTGAGCTGTACAATACACTTTGCTGTGTTGCACTCAGCATATTCCTTCCACAGGTGAGCAGAGAGGCTGTGTGAAAAGCAGCTTCACAGGTGCAATGCAGCGTGGCCTAACAGGTGCAAGAAGGCTTGGAAATCTCCTGTCCCTCTTCTCCCATCTTTGAAAGAGAAATCCTAAAGTAGAAGGCAAAATGGTGTGGGATTTCTTGTTTACTTGCCCTTTTAGAAAGGATTTAGGGGTTAAAACTGATAAAAAGAATAATACAAGTCAATGTAGTTATATTATTATACAAGATATCATCATAGAACAGGTGAATTTTGCCCTCAGAAAATGTGTTTTCAGCTGGGCCAGTCCTTAGTTTGGGTTTGCACAGCAAAAATATGATGCCACTTCCTTACTCAGTCACAGTGAAGCTGCCTTGAAGCCAATTACTGCCTCCTGGTCACTTGTCACTGCTTGTCAGGAATGAGCATAGAAAGCCAGGAAGATCAAATATACTTATATCCCCTCTAGAAAGCCTTCAGGGCTTTTCCAGTTCTCAGTGTGGCATCTGTGATTCCATCTCAGGTGGAATCTCCATTTTGCTATTTGATGATCGATACTAATTAGGACAAAGTTTTTTCCTCTTCCTTGTCTGACAATGAAGCTACCATGATGAGGAAACCTGAAAAAAAAAAAACCACAAACATTGGAGCAATGGAAATAAGTTTCTGTGTGCAGGGGAAGTGTGTGGTAGCAACTAGAGGCAGTATAGTGTAGCTGTCTGCTTTCCTTTACGATTTTCAGAGAAAGCTAGACTCATCCTTATGCCAGCTACTAATGTTCTCTGAAGACAGAGCCAGTGGAGTGAGACATGCTGCTCCCATGCCTCGAATTATCTTATCAGCTTCTACTCTTGATCCCTGGGATGCAAGGGAATTTCTAGCATAAACCTTAAGCACTCCCACAAGCCACCAAGTCATCTTAAATGCAGAAATTATTAAGCTTCTTAATTTAGAGACTTTATTTCTTAAGCCTGAATCTCTCTCCAGAAAGTGGGTGAGAAAAGTCAAACATTTATTAGTCACTTATCTGACGAAGTTCAGCTTCGCTGTAAATAACTTTTTTCCTTTCTCATGAATGTTTTCTCACTCTCTGCTCTCTTAATTTTTGTAAAAACTTTCCTGGAACTTGAAATTTTAGGAAAAATATAATAGTGTGTGCAAATTAATACAGTCTCGTAAAATACATACCTTTCATGGACACAGTCTGGATGATCCCACAATTGATTTACCTTGCAAAACTTCTGCACCTGAACCTTGGCTCAGCTAATAGGATACTCTACATCACCTCAGCTTGCTGGGCAAAACACAATCCATGAATTACTTGGAATAGTGTCAGGAAATACAGTATTCCTGGTCTGAAACTAGTATAGATGGCATCAACGTATTATTACTGTAAACATGAAAAAAATAAATACAATAAATCTGCCACATAAATGCCACCTCTACTACCTTATAGGACACCTTTCTTGAGTTTTATGCTCACATATGTAGTACTGCATATTAAACTTCCAGCAGCACTGTGCACGTGCTTTGCTGCTTAGGCCTAGTACAGTATTTCCTTTGCCTTGCTCTTTCACCTTAACTTTCTCTTCTTTCTTATTTATTGCACTTATTGTTCTTCATTTCATGTTACCTGCTGAGATAGCCATCTGACCTAGTTTTATGATATGGATTAAAGCAAATCCTATGATGTAAGTATATTTGCTTTTCTGTATTCTGCTCTGTCATCTGTGTTTTGCTGGGATTTTGGATACTGGGCCTGGCTTTGTTGAGAGTGCTTCTGTGTCTCTGAGGCTTACCCCCTAAGTGACTGGGATCATGCTGGAAGCAACTTTGTTCTCTGCGTTCTTGGGTACCCATTATCTCATTCCTTCAAAAGCAGACTTAATTCTTCAGCCTCTGAAGATAACTTTGTCTTTAATTATTCAGTCAGAAATTCCCACTGAGGTGAATGGGGGAGGGAGGGCCAAGGTCCCTGTATATTTTGAATCAGAAATGCCTGTTTGAAAGATTTCTGGTTTTGCAGTGTTAACTTGCTCTGGGCAAATAGGCACATAAATGGGAAAGAAGCAATCTCTTAATGTTACTGGGTTAAAAAGCCAGCTGAGATTTGTTCTGATGCAAATCCCTCTGCCAGTTCAGCAATACTGGCAATGTCTAAGAACATTAAGAAATAAAAGAAAACATGAACATCAAGGAATAGAATGATCCTTCCTTCTTTTCTACTCCGTGATGAATTAAAATTAGAGTTGAAGGAAATCAACAAAAGTTTTTGTTAGTGTCCCAGCCCTAGAAAGGTGTTGGATCATAGGGTTCAGCTTTTTATCTGTGTTTTCCTTTGTTTATGAAGCTCTCAATTTACTTTCATTTAACAGTTGGTAATCAAGTATTGTGCATGATGCTGACTGCTCAGTGCTATGGCTGATTTTCCTACCCTGTCTTGCCCCAAGACTTGTTTACTGATCCATGCATTCCATTGTAGGAATGCACCTGGATTTCTTCTCTCATTTTCACACTTGCATAGTTTTTTTTTTTCTTTCGCAGGGTAATGGTTGTCATAATTGCTATATGACATACAGTCCTAGAGGTCCATCCCAATGTGAAAGTTATATACTTTACATTTTCAGTTATGAATTTCTATTTAGATTATGTAAGCATGTAGTAGTGGGGTTTAACTATTGTTACTACAGGATTATAAAAAACAGAACAACTTGTAGGAGGCAATGAGTAGGCATTCTTCATTTAAAGCCAGAACTTTATGGAAATAGCTAGCCAAAACTACAGGAACCTCTGGCCAGCAACTGTGACCACACAGCTAAAGAGATTTTTACTGTCAAGCCTCCAATTAATGATAAAAAAAAAAAAAAAGACCAAGGAAATGAGAGTGATAAAATAAGAAATGAGAGTGTGTGCCTACCTGAAGTGTGATACTCCTGAACACTGGGCCATTCCTTGTGCTGTTGTGGCAGTGGAAACTGCCCTTGCCTTCCAAAGAGTGCCTCACAGTGGTGCTGGTGCTTTTGCCAGTCTCCTGCTTGTGAAAGGAGAGTATACACAGCTACACTGTCCCAGGCAAGGCAGTTCTACCAGACAAAAGGCAGATCTGGATACCAGAAAAATGCATTAGATAATTGCTAGTGTGCCACTGAAATACAGGATGGGTGGCAGGTAAAAAAACCCGTGAATATATTATTTCTTCTCTGCACACACCCACACATGGAAAAGAGAGGGAAACTTGGAAGTACTGTTCCCCCAGACAAACCCACAAAGATAAAACTGCTACTTTCTACCCAGTACTTTTTTTTTTTAACTTGAATAGATGAGATTAAAACAAGGAACACCGACAAAATAAACAGCCCTAGTGTAAGCAGCTAACAAATACGCATTATTCTCTGAAGAATAATGTACAGCTGGCATTCCAGGTCTCCTGAGTTTTTAATCTGAACCCTAAAGCTGAACTGCTGCAAGGCTCTGAGCAAACCACTGTGGGATAGATTTAACCAGCTCTCTGGCTGGCAGTGCTGGGTAGTTATCATCTTGGTGTGAGTGCAGGTAGCTGAGGACAGAGTCAGGCAGGCATGTCCATCTTTTATCCCAAGGTGAGGGTACTCCTGCTTGCAGACCAGAGTCCCAAAGGCTTCCAGTCTTTATAGAACTAATAAAGGACTGGTGTATCAGCTTATTGCTTGCATGCTTTTTTATTTCTATGTATATTTTTGGATGTTTTGGATTAAAATGAATCCCAAAAATTATGTGCATACGGTGCTTTAAAACAGCTGCATTTCCTAGCCTGCTCCCATGTTTTCCTACTACCCATGGCTACTGAAATTATTTTATTATTGTTTTGTGGTTATTTGGCTTTGTGGTTAAAGAAGAAAGCCTGGCTTTCCATGTGAAAGCCTGGTTTCCTCACAGAGAGCTTGAGTTTTCAGTGTTTTCATGTTACATCATCCTTGACTGAATGCTTACTCTTTCAAAACCAAGTTTACTTGAATTAATATGCATACCAGTCCCAATATTACTGTAATCAGCTTTTTTAATTTCAGAAAAAATATTTTCATTTATATTTAGAGAAATTTATTGATACTTGAACAGTTCCACTGCTGCTAGGAGAGTCCCCAGCCTAAAATACATGTCTAAATACTCATATAATTTTTGCTTAAGCAAATATTTTTTCACAGTCAGGCAAAACTTACTAACCAACATTAACTCAGATCAATATATTTTAATTGAAACTAATGGCAGATAGCTTAAACCAACAGATTTTTCACTGAACTAAGTACATTAAATCAATACATTGCCAAAACCCGTGAGATCTTGTATAAAAGGTATTTTCATTCTTAGCTAAATTAATTTAATTGAAACTTATGCATATTAACAGTAATCAAAATACTGACATTCAGACATTGCTCATCAATACAATCAGAAAACTTACACAAAACCATATAAAACAAGGAGTTAATTTGCTCTAAGTGAAAAAAGGCTGAGGGTTGATTCCTTCTCTTTGCTACACAATATTTGTCTGATCTTGAGTGAAGTCCTTAAGGACTAATTTAGGCCTGGAGTTTCCCAGCTGACACCAGCACAGTAAGGCAGGCTCCTCTCTGCTCAGCCGTGCTCCATGTGCAATCACCCGGTGGAGGTGACTCAGTACATGGATTATTCTGGGAGTGTACAGCCAACACGGCCCTTTCAAGTTTGGTGAAATCTTTCACTGGTGGCTGATATTGCACAATTTGTCAACACAAGAGATAATTAGGCACCTCAATACCCATGGAGATCAGCACACCTCTTATCTATCCACAGATACACGGAACAAGGACAGCAGCACTTCTCCAAAGTGTGTCTTCTTTGACTCTAAGCTTTTGGGCTGGGGACCATCTCTGACTTTCTGCTGAGGCAACACATCCCAACAGGGTCTCAGACACAGTTATTATGAAAGCAAGCTGATTGATCTAAATATAGAATTGGAAGAATTGGCGACTTAAGTGAGAAACTGATAGCATTTACCCATCAGCTGGATTCCTATTTTCAGCAGGAGATACACAAGAGCATAGACACTACTGTGCGTAGGAGCGATGACACAAAGACAACTGGGTGGGATGGAGGCTGGCACACGGTCATCTGGTTTGGTATTCAGTTACAATTACAGCATAATTAGTCTACTAATTGCATGCCCAAGTTTAGTCGATGAATTTGTATTTGTAATTACAGCTTATTGAAATGCACTGTGTTTTCAATGCTTGCCTCTGTTTCCATGTGAGAGTGAAATTTTCTTCTTCCACTCCCCTTGTGTTGATTGCACATGCAGAAATGTAAAAGATGACCATAACCCACGCAGGCAAGTATGTCAGACCCTTGCAAAAATAGCAGCCACACTGTAACCATCAGTTCTGCAATCACATCTGTGGGACTTCCTGGCCTCAGGTGCAGCTTTGTTGGCTTCAGAGCCAACACTGCAGTGTCAAGGGCCACCCCTGCTTACAGAATCATGCTGGGGGATGCAGAGCTCCTGCTACTCAAGCTATCACCTGTTGAAAATGGCCTTTCTAAAAGCAGCCTCCATCTTCTGCCCAGATATTTTCCAGTTCCAGACACAGAAAATTTTGCAACTGCCCCAATAACAAACTTTTCCCTGATCTTTTTAATGTGGAGTGAGTAAGTGGAAACCACTAAAGCAATGTAATTTCTTAAGCAGAAGCACTGTCTTTCTTGCAATCTACAGGGAAAATACTTCCTTTTCTTCCATTTAGTTTCTCTGTATCCAGCTGAGAAGCATAAGCTAAGTACTGAGGAAAGGACTTATCCTTTAAGAAGAATCTTGGATGATGCTTTCAACAATGTAAAGCTTTGTTTTGGCTTGATAAACCTTCATAAAACCCCCACATTCTTTGAAGCTCTGAAGTGGTTGCCAGGAATTTCTGTCCCACGAGAAGGTAAGGTGGCAGCCACATGACATATGTGCAGGATTTTATGCATTCTACAAGAGGTTAGAGAGTCTGTCTCACTTTCAGAAAGATGCCACTGTATTTATAAGATGGTCTACCAAGGGAGAATCAAACTGAAACTTGCAGCCTGTACATTCTGTAACAGTTTGCTTTAATTAAAATTAGACATGTTCTTAAGCAGAACTCCCGATCAAAACATACTCATCAAACTTTGGGAAAAACAGATAACAGAGTAGTATTTTCTCCCCCCCCTCTTTTTTTTTTTTTTTTTTTTTTTTTTTTTTTTTTTTTTTTTTTCTTTTGGTCTAGCTTCCTTTAAAATAAAAGAATTGATTGCACAAAAACTTGGTGGTGACAGCTGGGGAGCTATAGACTCAAAGTTCCTTGAAAACTAAGTAGATGGACCATACTATTTCATTTTCTATGTATCTATTCCCCATGATTTATGATTCCCACAGACCAAGATCTGAAAACTCAGGCCAAAATGCTGAAATGAAGAGCAGAGGAAGTAAACAACATTGACATCTCAGAGTAAAACCCTTTCAAGCTCTGTTATCCCTATTGTTAAGGAAGCTACTGATGTAAGGGAAAGTTTTGGAATGAGGAGACAAATAAAAAAGTACCTTTAAGGAGGAGCATGAAGCTGTTGATTTTTTCAAGAAATATATTCGATAGCTTATCTCCACTCTTGCTTGGTTCAGCAGAGGTCTGGAAAGTTATTAACTGGAAAAAGAAAACAAAAAAACCCACAAAAAACCCACCCCAAAGCCACACCCCAAAGATAAACAAAAAAATCTTAAACCAAATGCAAATTTCCACAGATTTCATAGGACATCACAACTGACAATTTTCATCTGAATGTGGTTTGTTCCTTCTCTGCATATCTTTGGTCAATAGTGTTTCAAATGTGAGAAAAAAAATTGTTTCATTTAAGTACTGTGTAATAGATGAAAGTATCTGAATGAGGAGACAGGGTTTGTTTTGTCATCTAGCCTTGCCTGTTATACTGTGTAGGTTCCTACAGCTTTGGAGTCCTAATTATTTAGCCAGACCATAGACCATATCCTTTAAATAAGCAGCAATATCCATTTAACAAGTTCCTTCACAACTTAACAGTCAAGTGCCATTACCTATTTAACAAGTAAGTTAATTGAGATGTTGCATCCAGCACAATCCCCTTGTAAATTCAATTAATCCCTCACAACCAGCTCAGACTTGCTGCACTTCAAATACTTGCACAGAGATTTAGAAAAGGTAGTATATTTAGTGAGGAGATGAAAGGGAGGGAGGGAGAGATGACTAGTCTCTGGCTTTGGCTAGTGTTTGTAAAATGGTCATTATACTTCACAATTTTATGCATTGCATTGTGTAGGATACACTGTCAGCCTGAGTGTCTCATTCAGACACATGCAGTTTGCACCCGTGTCAGTTGTAGTTAATTACAGTGGTATCATGTGGATGGATATATGTACAAAGCTTTGAGATAAAAAATATAAGTTCAGACTTTGCTAATTATTACTAATAGCTTAGGAGTGCTTTGGTTGATCTGATTTTGTAGGGTTTTGTGGTATTTCTTATTTTTAAGGCAGTCTGTAAGATATAAACTCTCTACCCCACACATAATGTATTCTGTCTTGTTGGTTACTCCTAAACATGGGTTGAAAAGGGAGAAGTCTTGCTAGCACAGAGAATCAGCACTTTTTAATTACCCTATTTTGTGGTACAAGGCGGATGGGTGAGGTGACCTCCAGCAGGAAGTCAGCACTTTTTGAGTGAGTACCAGCATATTTTTGCATTTGTTTGCTTCAGCCTTCTATTCTCTTTCAAATGGATCAAGTTCCCTTTCTTTGGATCTTTAGCTTTGTCCATTAGTACATCCCCAAAGAGTATTTTGTCAAACAAAGCAAAACACCTTGAAGACAATCCTAAGTTTTTTGAGAGTTATAGCCCATACTTTGTTTATGTATAGTGATAATTTATTGAGTTAGCACTCCCAAAAGGCAGATCTGGATACCAGAAAAATGCATTAGATAATTGCTAGTCAGTTGCTCTCCTGGTATTTTGTGGTATTTTATGCTGTCTTAATGGCATCACCTGAGATTCTTTAGGCACAAAAATATTTTAAATTGTGGTCTGTGATAAATTTTCAGGAAGTGCTTTTCAAATTCCCATAGGAAGAAGCTCTGTTGAAAATTTTTTTATGTCCAGGTTGTTGTTCTGGATAACATACTAACAAATGGCTATACAAATCTTAGAGCCATAAGAAAGATTGGGCAAAGAGATTTTGATTATTGTAAACCTAACTTCTACAATGAACTAGTGTTTGCATTTAAGATTTCTTTAGTGCATTTTGAACATTAGAAAATAGTTTGCCATGTGATGCTTAGAAATATTTTCTTACATTATGTTCTCAATCAGAAGTTTGCTAAGAATCACTTCTCTTTTCAAATATCACTCTCTTTAGAAACTTAAGAAGGACTCCTGGATTTAGAATACGTTGACAAGAATAAAACCATATTGAAAATCTTAAATGTCCAATAACACCTAATTCACTTCCACTATAAGCAGATAAATATCAACTATGAAAATGTCAACAGCTACAACTTCAAGAAATAAAAGACTGTGTAATTGCCATGTGTCCATGACAGACCACGCTGTCAGCACCTGAGGCAATCAAGAAAGCTTTGAGTATTTTGAGATCTGATGGCCAAGGAAGGCAAGCTCATCTTCTGAGATAGTTTTAGTAAGAACAATGCTGGAAGAGCACAATAGATTATTTAGACACCAAACTGATGCTATCAATGATTTTTCATTACTCTATGCTCTACACGCCTCTTTTGGAACCAGTGCTGACCACACAGCTTAGTATAATTGAGAGGCTGAGCTCCATTTCCATTTGATATTTTCCCTACTGTTTCAATGATAATATTCACATACAATAGGAAGAGATAATAACACAAAATCTATATTACTCTCAAAACCATCTTTTGCTGTCTAAATCCATTGTACTCTTTTAATAATTAGTTAGCTAATTATTAAAACAATATCTAAAAATAATCAACTTCCACAAAAATTGGCAGGCCAAATTCAGTTCCCATTCATCCCCAGACAGCACCAGTGCATTGTAGTTTATGAGGGAGGATTATAGAAAACAGTGTCAAATTATTACTTTTCAATAGTGGATAATTCATGTGTGGGCTGTAGGAAACAGCCTAATGGCTTTACTTGCAGACAGCCATTGCACTCTTTACCCACTCTTTATCTTGTTCTTTACTTGCCAGATTCAAGCACAGCATGTGCTGTAGGAGGACCTGGGTATCCTTGCAAGACCTCTTTCATCTCTCATTGCAGATAGGATCTGGCAAAGAAGAAGTACCACATTATTTTAACACAAAGACAACTGTCACATTATTTCCCCAGTGGCCAATCACCCTGCAGGGGACAACTTCATCTATATTGTACCTGCTTAACATACTTCATTAACTCTGTCAATTACCAGCTACCTCAGCACCTTTTCTGTTGGCATTACACAATTTATTCTTTCCATGTCCCAAACAGTACCACAGCTCCTACAGCTTCATAATCCAAGTAAAGAGATATTAATCTTAGAAATGTGTATTAGAACAATTAAAATAGATTTTCAAGATGGCTTATGGCTTGTTTTTTGATGGTGTTCAGCACCTACTACTATTTTTGAATTTTAAATATAAGAGAGAGTTCCCTCTAAAAAGCAGACGCATCTTTTAGAGGGGACTATATTTTTCATTACAGTGACTTTTCATAGAAGTTCTCACTGCCAAGTATAGCAGCAAACTTTTCTAGTTTAACATACTCTTTCAAGATAAACTTTAAAGGCAAATAAATTGAGACTTGACTTTAGTCACCTCATTGAGGCTTGCTAGACTAGGAGCTAAGGAGCATATTTACCCTGGGCTCTTTCTGCATGCATTGAAGACAGGCTTGCCATTCCGAATAGAAATTCAGCCCACCTAAGCCAAACTATGCTCACTGACTTGTGTGAGACTGCTCCTCACCACAGGCCTTAGTTAAGTGGTTTTTCATTAAATGTGTCACTTAAAATATCCTTGTGAGAAGCAGGACTTTTGATTCAAGAGTCAGATAGAGACAGTTCAAGAGGCTGGAGTTTCAGGTGGCTGCAATGGCCATCAGAAAGGTGGGGTTGGATGAAGAGCTAAAATCTGGGGATGGGAGTAAGGTGACGTTGAGTCTCTAAACACAGGAACAGGTATGGAAATTGAAGAAAGGGGCTTGAGAGTTCCAGGGCAGCAAAGCTGCGGGAGGCTCCACAGACAGAAGGCATAAAACTAGAAAGGGCATTTGTTTGAGCTAGCACTCAGTGTATGCAATTGTCTACTTGAACATTAAATTCTGCTTATGCTAATCAGCTTCAGTGCATGAGCCCAGATCACCAGAGAAAGGAGCTGGGGGGGCAGTGTTGGGTACAAAAGAGTGACACTCACAACTGCACAATTCCACAATTCCCCAACACTGTTGTGGGGCAAGAACAGAAACACAGGACTGCTCCCCACTTCCCTCCCTCACCCTCTTCTCTTTACCTCTCTTTTTTTTTTTTTTTTTTTTTTTTTTTCTCCTCTATCTGGAGTATGACAGGTTTCTTCAAAGGACACTTTTGAAACTAGAGAAAACCTGTATTTTCACAGAAAAAAAAAATCAAACAGTAAATGACCTAATGCCTGCTACAAAGACATCTGATTAAAGCAAATTCAACATACAGTTTAGAACAGACTAGCATCAAACGTTCTGAAAGGGAACAGATGAACCAAGAAAATTGAAAGTCAATGGAAATCCTAAATACCGCCTGATTACATGGAGTTTTCCCAGTCACTTTTCAAAAGGAGCAAGGGACATCTGATCGCTCAGCTCCTGCTCTAATTAGGTTGAAAGGCAAATCCTTCAGAAAAGGGAAGTATGGCTTGAGGTTACCCATTGCAATTGTGGAGTCTGTTGTGAAGTTGACAGTTTCTGCATGATTCAGCTTTCCAAATGAGTATTTCTTCCAACTGAATATTTTTGCTGCTTCTCCTTTTCTCTTCATGTTTTCTTTTCTTTTTTTCTACTGAATCAGTATGCTTCCTCCAGTGGTAGCTGCTGCATACTTCTGCAGGTATTGATCACAGTAGTGTCTCTGATTGTCTGGAGAGAAAATGACATTACTTGTCATCTTTTCTCATGCTACAGAATTGTAAAATACGAGGTTTCAGTACATCAATTAGCTTCAAAATACTATAATTGCATATTAAGAAGTAGCAGATACCTATTGCCATATGCTACATTTATACCTTCAGTACCCTTCAAGACACCTCTGGGGGCATTACAGCATTACAAGTGCAGTTAGAATGTGTGTATAGCCTAAATATGTAAGGAAGAAGGGTCTCCATAGTGAGGATTGTATCTGCAACTAATGAACTCTTTTTTTAACACTTCCTTACTTAATACTGCTGTCTGGGCTAAGAATCCTTTTAATATAGGTAGGAAAACCAGTCAAAGTGAATTCTTTAATTGCAGTAAAAAAAAAAAAAAATCTTTTGATTCTGTGATGTGCCCATAACTTGAATTTTCAAATTAATGCAGGAAGGGTTTAGGGAGTTGCAATATGCCAAACTACTTCCACTTCTGTAAAAGCTGTTTGTTCACAGCCAGGTGTAGTACCTTTTTTTTTCCTTTCTTTTTAAGGGAACAGATGAACCAAGAAAATTGA